GGGGGCAATATGCTGACGCTGTAAACCACTTAGAGAGGGCTGAAAGCCCTATGAAGCGGTATATAAGTCTAACTGCTATTGCTATTTGACAAGACAATACATGTTGACAAAATAAGTGTCAAAAGTAGTCAATTATAAAGGAACATGGTGGAGCAGGTTACAATTAAATTGAACAAATAAAGAAATAAAGAGATTATTCATAAAGTACTTAAAACAGGGTGATTGCCAGAAAATATGGATTTGTCAAAAAGAAAGTTGCAAGCTAATCTTTCTTTAGGGAGACAAAATGGGGAAACTTGATCAGAAGAATGTCTATGGAGAATCTCAGTCATTCAGGCCATGGATGTCCCAAAGGTGCTTTTTCAAGAGGCAACTGGACTTTCTGGGTTTTCTTTGAAGACGTTTTGCTTCTCACTCAAGAAGCTTCTTCAGCTCTGACTGGATGGTGGGTAATGGAAGGATTCTGTGAGGAATACAAATCCTTCCATTCCCCACTATCCAGTCAGAGCTGAAGAAGCTTCTTCGATGAGAAGTGAAATGTCTTCAAAGAAAAACAAGAAAGTCCAGCTGACTCTTGAAAAAGCACCTTTAGGTTGACCAGATGAACTAATTTTACTATATTCTAAGACTACATTAAATGAATCTTGAAAGGGGGAAAGTAGAAATCTCTCACCAACTACTTGCACAGCTTGAAAAGTTAGGATGGATCCTTTCTGAGTTTTTTTTTCTCTCTTTCTATTATGCCATTGTAGGCTCCTCCCACCCCAAATCTCATATTTCCTAGCCAGAATCACATATTACATATGTGTAATATTACACATATTACAGGGGCGTCAAACTCACAGCCCATTGGCCAGATCCCTCATATGCTGGCCACGCCCACCCCCAGTTTAGCGAAGGGGAGAAAGTTGTGACACATCACCTGATGACAACGTGACACCACAAGTTTGATACCCCTGGTCTAGTACATCACACATTTGTGCGATACTTATGGGTGTGATGACATTTTCTTAGAAATTATTTAAAAATGCATACATCCTTTTAAACATTACCAGTGTTTAATATCCAAACATATCTGTCATGGCACCTGCTCTTTGGAACTTTATGCCACAAGTAATTAAATTGGCCAATCATGTTGTTTTCCCTCTTTCTCCTTTAGATTCCTTCTAAAAAAGAACTAAGTCAGGAACATAGAAAATAAAATAATAAAGATGGAAGGGACCTTGGAGGTCTTCTAGTCCAACCCCCTACTCAAAGAGGAGACCATATACCATTCAGACAAATGATCATCCAGGTTTTTTAAAAGTCTCCAGTGATGGAGCATCTACAATTTCTGAAGGCAAGCTGTTCCATTGGTTGATTGCTATTAACATTAGGAAATTTCTCCTTAGTTCTAGCTTGTGATTCTTCTTGATTAGTTTCCATCCATTTCCATCCATCCAGGGGTGGGATTCTACCAGTTCAGACTGGTTCGGACCAGTTTGGGCAAACCAATTCACCCCAACGATCAGATGGGCCCACCCGCCCGCCTGTGCTATTTTCCTACCTTTTATCTTCTCAGCTGATTCACGGGGCAGAGCAGATTGCTGCGCGAATCAGCTGTGTTACATCTCCAAAGAAACCTGGAAGTGAAGATTTCGCATGATCACTGAACCGGTTGTTAAAGCGGGAGGATCCCACCACTGCATCCATCCCCATACCTGCCATGGCTGCAGCCTCAGGGGCCCCGACATGTCTTTGCTCTCCTTCCTTCTTCTCCTGGATCTGGAGGAATATGCAGCATTCAAGGTTTGGGCCATCGTCTTAATGACATTGTCAAAATGGTGGTTATATCGGATCTGGATACTATTCTTTTCCTCTTTGGTCTCCAGTGTTGCTTTCTGGGTACATCTTTTCCGCCCTTTGACAGAGAAGATGTGTTTTGAAAACAAACATTGAAAAGACTGTTCTTCAAATTGGGGTTTAATATAGAGATAAGATTCAAAGAAATCATTTGGCCTTTTCTTTTCCTGAAAAGCAAAGGTCCAAATGCTATGGATGTATTTGAGAGGCCTGTCTTTTTTTATTTTATACGTCCCCAAGGTGGTCATAATCCAGACTTTCCCTTCAATAGGTCCTGGTAAGCCGTCAAGCATTGAATGGAAAAGAGAAATTATGTCTAAAATGGGAGCATATTCTATGAAGTGAACAAAGACATTGACTTGTCTCCACATGGAGATTGCGTCCCTGAGGGGCCCTGTATATCCAGTTGTTGAGAATCGTTGTGATATAACAACACAAATTCCATTCCTCTCAAGCATAGGAGTAAAAGTTCTCATGAAATGCTCTCCATTCCCTGTGTCTAAAGCAAAGAGGCCAATCACGGTCCATCTGAAATGGAGGAGCAGCTGGACAATTCCTGGATAGTGGAACCCAATTATGGGGAACATCCGATGGAAAAAAGGGAATTGACTTTTATCACTCAGAGCCTCTGAAACAATTTTATCACTGAGCTGAAAAAGCAACAAAAAAGCCCGTGTCATATTTGGGATCACATCAAGCCCAAAATACATTTAATAAATCCAACTTGGTTCTCCTGAATATATTAGGATAGTTTATTGTTGATTGGTTATTAGTTTGTATCAAGATATAGAATGTAAAATACAGAATGCTAATGAAACAGTATACACAGTATAAATATAATGAAATATACAAATTAAGTAACAAAGAATAAGAATAAAGAATGAAAAACATATTTCTGTGCCAACCCTACAATTGACTGTAATCAGACTCATGTATGAAGATCTCAACTGAGCTGTGTTCTTTAAATAAAGGGTCGGTCATGTTATAGATAAATTTTAAATTATTGTTTTAATATATTTTTTATTATTTACATATAAGTATATTGAATACAGTGTGATTGTCCTAGCATTTCACTTGCCATAAAAACCAAAGTGAAAAAATAACATATATACTACTTAAACAGTGCTACTGTTGTACAATTATTTTTGAGCATCAAATTCATTCTAATACCATGATGCATATATAGTATCTCATTCCAGGTCTTCCTACCCTAATTTTTTCATATTCCGACTTCTACTTCATGTTTCTAACCATTGATAAAATCTGTTCCATGTGTCATAATATTCTCTCTCCTTTGTCTTTTATTTTTAATGTTAGTCTATCCATTTCTGCACAGATTAATATCTTCCTTATTACAGTATCTCATCCTCTGAAGGGGTGTTTTCACTCTTCCATTGCTGCACATTCTTGCTGTGGTCAGGATGTGTAGTATTAGTTATATTGTTCCTTTATCATAGCCATTTCTTATAATACCTAATAGAAATAATTGTGGCTTGAACTGTGTACGTTGTCTAACCATTTTTTCTAACCACATATCAGAGGTGGGTTGCTTCTGGTTTGGCCCAGATCGGCCGAACCGGTACTGGCAGTGACAGGAGGCTCCTCCCACTTGCTCAGACATTTCTGCACATGCGAAGAAGTGTTGTGCGCATGAGCATGAGTAAACCATAGTGCCGGGATTTGAAACCCACCTCTGAATTTGTAACCAAAATTTCTTTGCTTTTTTACAGGTCCATCACATATGGTAGTATGTGCCTGGTGTTTGGTTATAAATTTTGAATTCTGATTGCACAGGAAATATGTTGTTTCAATAGAGAACTAGTTAGGTCTAATGGTTAAGGTGCTTACCTAGGCATATTTTGACTTTGATTTATGAATAATAGTAGAATTTCTATCACATACTAAGCAAGTCTTGTCAATGTATAACAAAGTGTTATATTTATTTAGTGTCTCGCACACTTCAAGATGGTTCATTAGCTTGGGTAAGTCATTAATATCTAAACTGATTAAGAATAAATCAAGTAAGAGTCCAAATCCAACACAAACCCCAAGACAACAAATCAAACAATGAGGATAGAGGTGGGTTTATTGAAACTTGGTGGGATGGAATCTAGCATTGGAACATACTAGAAGGATATCATTTATCAAAAATAAACAGATCCAATAAAAGAGGAAGAGGAGTTGCATTGTATGTAAAGAATTAGTACATCTCAACAGAAATACACAATACCAAGGATGAAAACCTTCTCGTATGCCTAGCTCAGAGATATATCCCTCCCCATTGTGTATCTCAATCCTCAACCATGACATCTATAATGGCCGTAGTGAAAAGCAGCTCTTGAATTCCATAAAGAAGATACGGTTTGATCTATCACTCATCCACTATCACCCCGCTCACTTTATCACACAGAGTAACACACACACAAACCTGTGGGACTTTGTAGGGGCCTACTAAGGTCGACATCTGGATGGAAATATCACTGGAAGCTCCATCAAGAAGAGCCAAAAGGTTGTCCTTCTTTCCACAGCTGTAGTTGGGAACGTTGGCTTCTCCAGTAGAGAGCATGTCCAGCAAGGCATCTGAAGTAGCAAGTGTGTTAAAATAGTTGTCATGGATATTGTAGGCAAGAGTGAGATTGTGCAGGAGCTTTGGAGTCTTGTTCACCACTTGAATGGCAAAAATGAAGCGGAGGATTCTAGACTTATTAGTAGATAAACTACTGTAAAAAATATTCATGTTATCAGCAGCAGCAACAAAATAGTTTAATTATTTACTGTATTCCTCTGTCTCCAAAATCCTACTTATTGAATCTTATTGGTCAAAGCAGTAGCAAATTATGCTCAAGAATCACTGCATAATTTTTAGGAGTGCTGAGAAGATGGGATGGAGAATTTTCAACAGGGTTAATAGTCACAAATATATTTGTCATAGTTGCACATTTTTATTTGCCCGATAATCAGGATTCAAAAATCATTCAATCATTAAGGTAGAACCACCACAAATGGAAGAGGATGTTTCATAAATTACCCAGAGAAGAATCTCTTAACAAAAACATTGTCCTTTATTTCTATAAGGATCAGACATTGAAGAGCAATGAATAATTATTTTAAAAATATGGAATTGGGCTGGGCAGGGGCAAACCAATTTCATTGTATACGTGATGTACAATGACAATAAAGGCTTTGGACTACAACCAGTTCCATAACTACTTTAAATAAAAGTTCAAGAGATGAACTCAGAATTGGATGGAGAGTGGAATGTAAGCTGCACTTCATTTAGAATGCTTTTTGCCCCAAATTTGAGAAGTTGAGTCACATCTAGAAAATTAAAGAGGGAAAGCTATGGAAATGAAAACGATGCAAGAAATTAGACAAAGTCCTGCAATATAGGAGCAAGCAAAATGAGAAGAAAAGGAGGAGAGTGTTAGAACTGCAAACGGAGGGAATGAAACTCCATCACACTGAATGACTTACAGGTGAGACTGTTTCTCAGGAGTCATAGTGAAAGGCAATATCACATGAGGTATCTTTGTTGCGGTGGTGATAAAACTAAACAGGTGGTCTCCTGGCTTGTAATAACTCCATGGCTTTTCTCCATCCTGGTGCTCAAAGTTCAGCAGGCACTTCTTTCTAAGCTTCCCAGAGACAGCCTGGGAGATCAGCAGCATCAGAAGCAGAAGCAGGAGCTCCATAATTCATGGAATCAGTCTCCTTTGTGTTTCTACATAAGAACAACAAGAAGAGTTAAAAGAATTCCAAGCACTCTCACAAGAGGGAAATGCCAGTGGCTTTCCTGATTCAGAAGAAGACAACTGAGCTTCCCTTAGAAAGGAGAGAAACTACATTCAAGAGCAAAGTCCCTGCCTGTCCACACACAGCATGGCCTGAGGCATTTATCTTTTTCTGACACAAGATCCCTTCCATCTTGCTTCAGTCTGATGTTTACAAAACTGGAGAAGTTAGCAGAAGAAGTCTCAGAGACAAGGAGGAGGATAATTACAGTGAGAATCAAGTTCTCCTCTGGGGTATCTAGAACTTCTTTGGGGCTTGATGTCCAGAAGGGCAGTTGTAGGAAAGGATGTTAGTGAAAAATAAGACACACGCATTGGCCAGTATTCTATAGTAGATTTTCTTCCTCTCAGGACATGTTCAAAAAGTGATGCTGTAGGTAGATAGTTCAATGTTTCATTACCCAAACTTGGTGACATCATCCATGCAGTGATGATGTTACCTAGTTTGGGTAATGAAGCATCTCCAAGAATATTACCAAACCAGAGGGCACCAAGGACCTTCAACCTGGAGCTGCAGATATTCTCCTTTCTTGGTACTGTCATTTCTGTCTTCCACCAAAGCTGGGCTAAAAGATATGCCTATGTTGGCCAGTGTGGTCTATCTGCAGCTTCCAATGTGTAGGATGCTACAGCCACTGATCTAACTGCCTACCAATAGCTCAGGTTATTCCATCACTCCATGCTTTTCTGGGATATTGAGGGAACAAATTGGGATTTTATCTTCAAAACATGCTTTACAGAGGCTCCTGGACAGTTTTAGAAAGCATTTCACATTATTTTTCAGCTGCCCCCAATGCATAAATCACCCAGACTTCATTCTCCAGGGCAACCCCTTTACTATGTTGAATCCACTCTCACAAAATGCCACTTTTCACCAAAACGGGGCCATGTTTTTCAAAAAAAGGGGGGCATGAACAGCCCTTAGGGGGCTTGTAGAGCCTCCTGGGGGATGGGGGGCAAAAACAAGGAAAAAACAGCCCATTTTTCGCAAAAATGGGCCCATTTTTTTTAAAAAGGCATGGATAGCCCTTAGGAAGCTTGTAGAGTGCTGCTGGGGGCTTGGGGGGGCAAGAAACAGTCTGTTTTCATTCATTTCTGCCCTCCCCAGCCCCCAGGAGCTCTCTGAAAGCCTCCTACAAGCTATGCACAGCCATTTTGGTGAAGGGGCAGAGTTTCAGTGTATAAGACACACCCAGATTTTCAGCCTCTTTTTGAGGGAAAAAGGTGCATCTTATACTCTGAAAAATATGGTACTTCCCAGAACATGCTTCAGGAGGTTCTGTGTGAGACTGGGCATTTAATGAACAAGCCCCCGCTACTTTATGGAAGTGGTTATCTCCTGGTTGCCTGAAGCAGGCTGGTTAGGAAACTTCAATCATCAATCAATCAATCAATCAGAAGAGAGCTGTATGGGACTTTGGCGATCTTCTAGTCCAACCCCCTGCTCAAGCAGGAGACCCTAAATCATTTCAGACAAGTGACTGTCCAGTCTCTTCTTCAAAACCTCCAGTGATGAAGCACCCACAACTTTGGATGGCAAGCTGGTTAATTATCCTCACTTTTACAAAGTTTCTTGGTTCTAGTTTGTCCACTCTTTTGACTGGCATTATCTGATTACTCTGCCTAGGGCAATGCTAAATAGGAAATTTTACTCATTGTTTCCTAGAGAATGCCAGGCTAAGTCCTGTTCTCTTGAGAGATATCATGTATATGTTGACCTCCTTGTGGTCAAACTGGGAGAGGAGGACTGTGAGGAAAAACAGTTCCTAAATGAGTGGAATTGATTAAATCAAGTTGATATGAAGAGATATAAGGTTAAAGTTTCTTATCCCGTTAGAACAACCCCATAGAGTTGCAATGGGAACTGTTTTCTTTTGGGAGTCTGGCATCATCAAATTGGCCTGCAGCAAATAAAATGTGTATTAGATAACTCCTGGGGCATTCATTAGCCAAGACCTAAGAATAGGGACAGCTAGAGACCAACAGAACAAATGTAGAATTGTTACTAAAATGTTTATTAGAGGATATCTCTTATTATCTCACCTTGTTCCAACTTCTTCTTTAGTGAAAATGTATAAAGCTTTCTTAATCCTTTGTTCTTGGCTCTCTTGGCATTTTGGCCAGGAGCCCTTTTCCTTGGGGTACTCCAATAAAAAGCAAGCAGAACCTGCACCTTGTGTCTGCCATCTTTCATTGGCCTCGGCACTAGGCTCAGACCCAAATTGGGGACAACAGTATTATATCTACCTGGAGGGAAGTAAGCAGTGGGGTACCACATCTTAGGCCCAGTACTCTTCAATAGCTTCATAAATGGCTTAGATAAGGGGAGGAAGGGAACTCATCAAATTTGCAGATGACACTAAACTGGACGGAATATCCAATACCTCTGAAAACAAGCTCCTGATCCAAAAAGGTCTTGACAGACTTGAACAATGGGCTCTATCCAACAACATGAAATTTAATGTAGAGAAAAACAAGGTTCTACACCTAGGCAGGAAAAACCAGATCTGTACAAGTACAGATTAGGTGAAATGTGGCTCAAAAACAGTAACTGTAAGAGGGACCCTGGAATCCTAGTAGACAATCACTTAAACATGAGCCAGCAGTGTGTGGCAGCAGCCAAAACTGCTAATACAATCCTTTTTTATATAAACAGAGGCATAGAATCAAAACCACGTGAATTATTAGTACTGCTTTAAAAAAGCCTTAGTAAGACCAGGCATACTGCATCCAGTTTTGATCACCAGGTTACAAAAAAGATATTGAGATTTTCAAAAAAAAAAGTGCAGAAAAGAGCAACTAAAATGATTAATGACTTGGAGATTAAAACATATGAGGGTACAAAGGGAATGTGGTCACAACATTACTTAATTCATCATGGGCAGAGATGTATAGCTGAGTATCATCAGAACAAGGATTGATATCTCACCACATGGTGATGGCTTATCTGGCAGTCAGAACAATGAATCAGTGCTTCAACTTGCCTCCAGAAGTTGTGAATGCTCCAATACTGGAAGTTTTTAAGAAGAGATTGGATAAGCATTTGTCTGAAGTGGTGTAAGGTTTCCTGCCTAAGAAGGGGGTTGGACTAGAAGACCTTCAATGTCCCTTCCAACTCTGTTATTCTGTTATAAAAAAGCAATTTTAAAATCAGCTACAATTTATGGTTAGTATATGGAGATCTAATAAAAAAAGAAAATCACAAACAGGCCCAACTCTTAACATTAGGCAGTATTCAAGGTTACTGGTTGCTTCCTTGGCATTAGAAGACAATCAGCAATAAAATTGACCCCAACCTAGAATGGAAGACTCCATTCTACATATCCTTTTATCTATGGGGTTATGGCTTGTGTCAGACCTGGAAGCCATTTTTTTACCCTTTTGGGTTTCAGCCTGCCACATTTTCTTCTGTGGGAAAAGGGGAGATTATACAGAGTATGGGTGATATGTAGCCATAATAACATCCCTTCTCAGAAAGTCAAGGTCACTTCTGTCCCTGCACCTGGACGGATTTGAATGGGAGGAATCTTCCTTCATGGCAATGATCGATTGGATCATCTGATAGACTTGTTGGTGTTGGGGCAGGTCTTGAACTTTCAACTGGGTGGAAAAATCTGGAAGCTTTCAGATTCAAGTTTCCGCAGATGTGCCAACATGGCTCCCTTAATTAATTGGAACTTTGAGCAATACTTTGCCTTAGACTCTGATTTACTTTTGGGTGCTATTTGGAACCCTGACATTAACCTGAATTCCTCTAATACAATGGAACGTTGAAGAAACTCAAGCCTCAGAGTCTTCTTTTGTTGGGGGTGTTACTTGCAACCCTGACAACTTGCTTAAGCCTTACATATCCCTTTGCGTATAGGGTTATACCTTTACTTGAGCCTACATGTCCTTTTTCCCTACTTGTGATTTCTGCAGCTTATCTTATTGTGGCCATATCTTGTGATTTCCTATCTGGATTTGAGTATGTGTTGTTACATTTCCTCCAATTCTACTGACATGTTATACAGTCACATTCATCTAATAGCAATAGCAATAGCAGTAGACTTATATACCGCTTCATAGGCTTGCTTCCGTTTATATACCGCTTCATAAGCTTGCTTC